GAAGGGATGAGGGTGAGAGGGGAGAGGGAGGAAGGGGGAGGGAAGTGAGGGGAACTGGAAGAGGGGGTGAAGCGAGAAGGGAAAGAGGGGAGAGGGAGGGAGGGGGAGGGAAGTGAGGGGAACTGGAAGAGGATGGGAGGGTGAGAAGGGAAAGAGGGGGGAGGGAAGTGGGGGGGGACTATAAGAGCGGGTGAGGTTGAGAAGGGAAGAGGGGAGAGGGGGGAGGGAAGTAAGGGAAACTGGAAGAAGGGGTGAGAGTGAGAAGGGAGAGGGAAGGTGGGAAGTGAGGGATACAGGAAGAGGGGTGAGGGAGAGGAAAAGGAAGAAAATGAGGAGGACTGGAAAAGAGTGAGGGCGGGGGAGAAGAGAAGGGAAAGGGGAGAGAAGTGAAACGAGAGACAGGAAGAGAGGGATAGGGAAAAAGAAGGAATGAAAGTGAGAGGAGGTAGATAGAAATGAGGGGAGGAAAGAGAGAAGTTAGGAGAGGAAGGGAGGAAAAGGAGAAAGAGAAAAGGAGGGAAGGAAGAGAGGGTGTAGGGGAGCGTAGTGAGGAAGGAAATGTGAGGAAGAGGAGTGAAAAGGACAGATAAGTAATTGAGGAAGTAAAGGTAAAACGAAAAGAAATAGGGAGAGGATGGAGAGGGGACGGGAGTGGGATAAATGAGGGGAGAAGGGAGAAGAAAGAAGGAAGAGAAACAAGGGGAGGAGGGAGAAGGAATGCAAGAGAGTGACGGGAAACGGAAATATAAGTAAAATAAGGAGGAAGGAGGGAGGAGGAATCGCTATAACGGGGTCCTTCATCGTTCCTCCTTAAGGATAGCTTAACCTTGTCTCTATTGATTATCTTCACAACAGTGTCACAATTCAAGATCTTTATTTAATTATCTATTATGACATTTGCATTTCTTCATCTTTTTTCTCTCCCTTTCTCTTTTTTAATCCTTGTATCGTTTTTTGTTTCTTGTTCCTTTTGATTTAGTCTAGTTGTGTTAAGAATCATATTCAATAATATATTGATTGATTATCTGTGGTATTCTGATTACATATATGCATTTGGCCCTTATTAGGCTCTAGGACAGGTCTCAAGGTTACGATAATCGAATACATATGTTCAAACACACAGGCTTCAGAGTCACACAAGTTTCGTTTATGTCACTGAAATTAAGATCTTGCATGCTGTATAGAAGGTATAATCTGTGCTTACTTTTCTTAGATGAACTAATGTCTGTAATTCCTGAGTTTACGTATGATATCCTACTGTAACGCTAACTTGGTGCAGTAAGCAAGATTCGTTGTTATGTAATCTTTCAAGAATTCTATTGTGGGTTAAAACGCGTCTAATTATAAACTTTAAGGGTATTCAGTAAGGAAGAAAATAGGAAGCTGCACGAATATTTCATACAAACCACATAGTTGGCTTAGCACTAGAACAGCAAAGAGAGAGGGGCGTGGTTTCTGTGGCAAGTTATCGGGTAAAGGAGTTCATTGTGAAAACTGTAGAAAAAGAAAATGCACGAAAACGAATAACTTGGCAAAGCGAGGCATGAAGTTGAGAGTTTCAATAATTCATCCTCATCAGAATTACACGGAACTCAAATGAAAATGTTGCAGCCCTTGCTCAAGTAATTATTTCGCACTCCTAGCTTTTCCACATGCCTCCTCAGTTTTGTTTTTTTACATTGCTATGTCTTTGTCCTCACGCGGTTCCCTTCCTTCTCCCTCACAGGCGAGGAACCGGCCGCGATGCAGACCAACGGCTCAGGAACCAGCGCGGCTCACGCCCCCAGCCTGCCTTCCTTCCTCTTGGCTGCGGCCGTGGTCTTTCCCTTCTTAATCCTGGGAGATTTCCCCAAATACTTAGGGAACCTGGCCATTCCCGAGGGCGCTAGGAATCCCAGCCACACGCCGAAGGACCTGTTGATAAAAGTCCCGGCAAAGGAAGACGAGGACCTGTTGCTCCGCGGGACTTCCACTTGGCCGGACGAAGTGGCACTTTCGAGTACCTGAAGGGGAGAGGAAGGAGAGAGACGCCCGCCCTCCTACCAAGATTCTAGGACATCCTGAAGAAGGTTTAGTGTCGGCGAAGGACACGAGGACCAGGAGTGACAGAGGGGCCTGCGCATGAGGACTTTGGGATATACGGGGCCCTTATTGCTAGGGGGGGGGGGGGTGAAGGGGAGGAGGAGCACTCTCAACAATTGATGAAAGCCAAAGAGGTAATAGAAAGAGAGGTAGGCCTATGATCCTGATTATTCAGGCATAAAATCAGCATAATTGGCAATCACACTTTTTTAACGGAATGTTTAATTATATCTGTGTGAAAAAAATAAATAATGAAAATAAATCATACACGTCCCATGTAATAACTAATTTAGAACAAACAGGGATGTTAGAATGAGGAAATAAAAAAACAGACATTTCTTAAACACAAGAGACTGGAAATGGGAAGAGAAAATAAAAAGTGCTGGGGAGGGAAGACGGAGGAAAAGGGTAGGGGAGAGGAGAGGACAAGAGAAGAAGGGGGCAAAGAGGATAGAAATATGACAATGAAAGCAGGACGGCAGCCACTCAGGATCGTCCCTCCCATCGCGACCGCATGAGAAGTGCCTTGGTGATGAAGCTCCCCGCATGACGCACGTATGACTCATGACCCGACGTCCCAAACTGCCTGATCGATGTTTCCTATTCCATGACCTTTCGTGACCTTTTGTGACCTTTCGTGACCCCTCCTGAGACCCGCCAGCCACGATCAAGCACGACCCAGAAATGTGACCTCTTAATAAACCTTGAGCTAAACCGTGTTATTTGTAATATCCCATGTATTCAACTTGACCTTTGACCTCAACCTGTGACCTCTCAACATAAGGTGAGTCTTGAACTGATTACATTTCCAATAATGATAACGAGGAGAAAAGTTAAATGTTACAAATATTACGGTAAAATATCCTTTTTTCGCCCACTGACTAAACTTTTTAAAAGCTCATTCAAGCAGTGCTATATAATGCATATACAAAGTCCTGCAATAACTTGCAATATCCCCTTTACTGTCCACCTACACGGCCACTGACGTCACAGAAGATTTCATTAAGGAAGAGTCTAGTTTTTGAAAGAGTAGATTGTCAAAAAAAGTATCATGTATTGCCCTATTGATAGATTTCTACGATTAATCAACTTTGGATCGTTGTGATTATGATCCTCAGTGTTATTCGTTGATGTTGCTATTATATGTTTTAGTTACATCACTCTTTGTGTTGTCATCATTATTTTTTCTAAGCATGATCAGCAGTGATGTTATTTTTATTATCAGTATTATTTTTTTTATTATCATTATTATCATTATTTTCATTATTATTATTATTATTATCATTATTATTATCATTATTGTCATTATTATTATTATTATTATTATTATTATTATTATTATTATTATTATTATTGTTGTTATTACTATTATCATCATCATCATTTTTATTATTATTATTATTATCATCATTATTTTTCATCATCATCATCATCATCATTTTATTATCAGCATTACTTTTATTATCTTTATTATTGTTATTATTACTACTATTCCCATTGTTATCTTCAATTCCGTCATTATTGTTATTATATCATCATCATTATTATCAAATGTAATTATTATCAGTATTCCCATTAACATTATTATCACCATTATAGTTATCGTCCCTACTATCATTTCTGATCTTATTGTCATTATCATTGTTATCATTATCATCATTTCCAATGTCATTCTTAATATCATCCTTATCATAATTTTCATTGTCATCCTTATTATCATCATTATCATCATTATCTCTGTTACTATTATCGTTATTGTCATTATATTTCACACTGCCATCAATATTCCTATCTTGTTATCGTAATCTCTGCAATTATTTCAATTAGTAATATTAGTATCATAATCCTCATAAATGTTATAATTATTGGTAACTAATGTTGTTGTTATTATCAACATAATGATTTTGATGACACTGTATCTGTTATTAATAAACGTGGACAGAAATTTTTAAAAATGAATAAAAATTAAGAAAATGAAAGTATAGATAAACAAAGAAAAATAAAGAATTAAAATATATATATATATATATATCTAACCAAGGGAAACCTCCCCCCTCCCCTCCTCTTAACCTCCCCCCCCCTCCCCTAACCCCGGCCTCCCATCCCCCCCTCCCTCTACTAGTTTAGTGACGTCATCAACTCTAGATACCTGTCTAGGTGTTTCTCGTGTGTTTGTTTGTTTTGTCTTTGTAAGTATAGAGTCTAAGAAGATGTATTTTCTTGGTTTATTTTCTCTCCGTGTTCATGGTATATGCGTGTTGCAATCATATGTGTGTTTGTTTAGAGTAGTCCAACTATAGTGCACACATGGGAAATAATACATATATTTATATTTGTAGGTTGTATAAATGTCTGTATACACATACACACACGCGCGCACGAACACACACACACACATACACACACACACACACACACACACACACACACACACACATATACATACATACATGCATATATATATATATATATATATATATATATATATATATATATATATATATATATATATATATATATATATATATATATATATATATAAATGCATATATATATGTAGACACACACACACACACACACACACACACACACACACACACACACACACACACATATATATATATATATATATATATATATATATATATATATATATATATATATATATATATATATATATATATATGTATATATATATATATACATATATGTATGTATGTATGTATGTATCGTATACAGACCATATGCTAAGCTTCTCTTTTTTGGAAAATGAAAAATTGTTGTAAATAAATTTGTATAAAGATAAATATAGATGTATAATTTGTGACGTTAGATGTTTTATATTTTGATACAGTGTATATAACGATTCAGCAATGATTTTTATTTAATAATTCCTATTTCCCCGTGATGATAAATAG